GTTTAGTGGCCTGTTACAGGTTCCCATCCCAGTCCCCCAGCCTTCCTATCCCGCTCCTCCAGCCCTTCTGCAGGAGCTGGAGGGGCGGATGTACTGCCACAGGACTGAAAGTACATTTGGTTTCCAGCCCCTCGTGTTAGGTTACCCTGGTGTGTTGTTGGCTTATTCTCTTTTCACTACTGTCCCTTGCCCCCTCCCCTTACTCACTCACTCACACTCTCTCACACTCACTCTCTCACACTCTCTCTCTGCTCCACTCAAGGGTAACTTCACACTCGATACGTTTCTTACGTTCTCTCCCAGCTCCTCTCCTCCCTAATGGGTCACTCCCTTCACCCGTTCCTCCTTACAAAACAGTTAGCGGAAACATGATTACTACGTACACAATTCTCAGAGCAGATAATGAAACTATTCACCGCGGATGGCACTTGAACAAGAGAAGACAGGTGGAAACCGAGTACCCAAATGAGCGGCAGGAACTAAAAAAAAAATCGGTCTCATAGTGAACAAATGTAATGCCCTGAGAAGTGAGGCGGTGTTGGTGGAGGAAGAATCCATACACAGTTCCGAACGTAAATATGACAGAGCCCAATAGGCTCGGGAATTTGTACTCCACATGGTTAACAGTCGAGAGGCGGAACCAAAGAACCGAAGCTCAACTCTGCAAACAGTTAAAGTGTTAATTAAACAGGTATAGCCCTTCACTTCCATCCTGGTCACAAAGGGATAGTCACGAGTTAGTAACCCATTTACAGTTAGTGGACACAATCCTAACTCGGTGCTTAACGTCTATCTTGGGATCCAATAACGTGAGAACAAAGGCTTAACAACACCTGGCAATTAACACCCGCACGGTCTTAGAGAGGCGCACAGGTTGTTATAATATTTGTTCCATTCCATGTTTTCCTGAATAGGTTTTAAGTCGCTTAGTAAAACGATGCATTCAAAGCACTCAAAAATATTATTTGAGTCACGTGGTTTTCCCCTGAGCAAACAGCGAACAATGCGATGTTCGGTCCGTCAGGAGCTGCGGCCGCGTCGCTTCTCTCTTAATAACGCAAGTGCAAGTCGCCACAAGAGCGTTGTGGCTCTTTTAGAAAGCTACATTTTTGCCTTTGTTTTAACGAAAAGGTCACAAATGCATCTTCACGCATTCATACACTCTCATAAGCGTAAACACACACACCCACACACACTCGTACATTTAAACATGCATTCATATATACAACAAACACTCATACACACGTATTCACAACAGCTTGGGGTGTGGTTGGAGATGATTGTTTACGTTAATCTTAAACGAAAACTAATTTGAAACGGGGTGATAATAGCTTGAGCTACCTCACCCCTTTGTGTGTATTTATACCTCAATAAACTAATTTCAATTTCAATAACTCATTTTAGTGTCGAAGATGATCAACGAGGATACAGATGTGCCCAAGTTAAGCAAACTACATAAAAATCAAAATAAATAAGACACTCGGAAAGTACCGGATCAAACACTTCAGAAATAGGAGTATAGGACCCAGCGAACAAGCCGCAGCAAAGTTAAGTCAATAACGCAAAAAGTATTAGACAAATAGTTGAAGCAACACGTATGTTAGGACCCAGAACCAGTTTAAGATGGTGGAAATGCTTAAAAAATCTGATAATTGCGAGAACGTTAGAGAGCAAATAAAATATCAAACAAGATAATGAGGTAAAAGTTAATTAAATTAGCAAAATAATGGGACAGAGGGAATAAGTTAACTGTACTTAACAATGAAGGAAATCATAGAAGTTATTGATTTCAAGCAACTGGAAATAACCGAGCCTCGAGGAATGGCTGAGACACCTGATGGCTCAGTACTGAGGAGATGAAGATGGTAAAAATATACAATGTAAACACGAGAACGAGACAGAGGACGAAGGAGAACACTCACACCAGCGGAGGTTGGGAAGCAGACTTCTCTGGGAACCAAATCGGGTGCGATAGGGCAAGATACTGTTGATTCAATATCCTGGTTAGTGCCTGTCCTCGCCTCCTGGTGGCGCTCAGGGCAGCATGAGCGCTGTAAACACACGCTCACACATATACACGCTCATTTGTTATTTGGCTCTTTTAGACAAAAGAGGCGGCATAACGTTTCAGCGTGGCTTTTATTGCTCATGATTACGATGTTCCTCGTGTCTGTTGCAGCTGCTGCCCGCTTCTGACACTGCTGCTGCTGCCTCTCGGTTCCTGCTGCTGCTGCCTCTCAGCTCCTGCTACTGCTGCTGACGCCTGCTGGTGTTCTTGTCTGTTTTCTCTCACGGCGCACTGAAGACAGACGTGAATCTGCGGGTACAAAAAGTATATCTATACTTTGGTTCGACCCGCCTTTCCAATTTCATTAAGGGGGATTCGTTCGTTTAGCTCAACATGGTGTATTTCCGCGATGGCCTGACCTCCAGGGCAGCCTTTGTACGCTCTGCTTCAATCATATCGAGAGAGCGGGTGTGTTTCTGTGTGTGTGTGTGTGTGTGTGTGTGTGTGTGTGTGTGTGTGTGTGTGTGTGTGTGTGTGTGTGTGTGTGTGTGTGTGTGTGTGTGTGACTAGTGGTCTTGCTGGATCTATTTTTTTGCTGTCTTTCATTCGGGTTTTCGGCGCTTTTAGGGCAGATATGATTTCATATTTTCCAAGAGGTCTAACGCGGAGTGGATGTGCAGCTTTTCTTCCAGTTTTATTTTTGTTCTGGAGGTTTCTTGATACGTTTTATCTTTTATCTGGGCCTAGAAAATGTGTGTGTGTGCGTGTACTCACCTAGTTGTACTTGCCGGGGGGGGGGGGGGGGTTGAGCTTTTGCTCTTTGGTCCCGCCTCTCAACTGTCACTCAACTGGTGTACAGATTCGTGAGCCTACTGGGCTCTATCATATCTACATTTGAAACTGTGTATGGAGTCAGCCTCCACCACATCACTGCCTAATGCATTCCACCTGTTAACTACTCTGACGCTGAAAAAGTTCTTTCTAACGTCCCTGTGGTTCATTTGGGTACTCAGTCTCCACCTGTGTCCCTTTGTTCGCGTACCACTCGTGTTAAAAAGTTTATCCTTATCTACCCTGTCAATTCCTCTGAGAATTTTGTAGGTAGTGATCATGTCTCCCCTTACTCTCCTGTCTTCCAGTGTCGTGAGGTGCATCTCACGCAACTTTATTGTAAGTACAACTTACCTAGTTGTACTTACCTAGTTGTGCTTGCGGGGGTTGACCTTTGGCTCTTTGGTCCCGCCTCTCAACGATCAATCAACTAATGTACAGGTTCCTGAACCTGTATTGTGTGTGTGTGTGTGTGTGTGTGTGTGCGTGTGTGTGTGTGTGCGCGCGCGCGCGCGCACCCCCGCCCCCTCCTTCCTACTCGTAAAGCCAGACATATAAATATAACATGAAAACCTTTTACTTTTCATACCCGGCCACACACTTGGTGCTTGGACTCAAGCACTCAGAGAAAGCTTTAAAACACACACAAACACACACACACACACGCTCTATATGGACTTCAAGTAGTGTTTGGCGTGCAGGTCTGGGAGGGGTCGTGTGCCTGCATGAGCACCCTGGCTAGTTGGCGGTGGGGGGGGGGAGGGACAGGTAACGCTGCACGCACTCTCACGCACGCACACGCACGCTAACGCATGAGAGCGTGCTAGAGAGCTTGATAGGTTAAGATGACTGATCCAAATTTAGCTAAATCATTTGCTCGTAAGGAGAGAATTAATTGCTATCTTTGATTGCCTCTGAGCAGCGTGAGGGCAGAAATTTCCCGAGAAAATCAAGAAAATCTAGTTGACTTGAGGTAACGTTAAATAATGAATAAGAATTATTATTAAAATTATTAATTTAGATTTACAGTTCCCCTATGGAATACATAGCTACCACCTATGGCTTCTTATTTTAGTATTTTGGATAGTTTTATGGCTTAATAATTAAGATTGTAGTGAAGTCTTCAGCGAAGATGATAGCTGTTGACGGATGAATACTCTTTACTAAAATAGTTTACTCTTTACTGAAAATAGTTCAAAAAAATTATATTAAGTCTCCATTCTGTGTCAACTAATGTTTCAACCCATGATTTAAACCACTATTCTACAGTGCCTCCCCTGTTAAAGGTTAGCACTTAGGAGATAGCTAAGGGGTTTCTCAGTAAATTGTAATAAGCACTCCATAAATTATTACATATAATAATGAGGCTTTTGCTAAACAATATTATATACAATAGTGTAAGCTTTGAAAATCTTAGAGAATGGATTGTAGGAATGTCGACATAAAACTATGTGACGCTGGAATGTCTAAGAGGTACACTACTGCAAATAGGATGGACATAGGGTCTATAACAAATCCCACGATGTTTATGGGGTCCACTGCTACCTGTTGGTGGTAGTGGACGCTACTTGTGCAGAAAAATATTCTGAACAATGTTATCCTGGACGTTAATAGTTATTATAACGCATAAATTTTCTCACTTCAATGAGTTAAAATCACTTAATTTGTCATTAACGAGCAATATCTTAAGTCCATTGAAAGCAAATATTTAACATCATCCAGTGTTGTGTCAGGAACTTTGGGTTGTTGGGTTTCTTAGTCCTTTATTGTATATATTGCATATTGTAGTTGTCGAGCGGCCATTAACAGTTCTTGACTGACGGGCCATTACACCTTCACTGGCGATTATATTGCAAATGTGGCTCTGTTGTACCCGTTGTTCTGTTGCAACAGTTACAATAGAATGTTGTGTTTTGGTTTGTGAATTATATTTTGAAATTAACAACTTCAAACATTCAAGCTGGAAATTATTATTGGTTCATTAGAGACTCGTTCGTATTTGGGGAAGTGAAGGAGTGGCTGTTGGCCATTGTTAATTGACACTTCAGACTCTCAAAATGTTAACCAATGGGGGTGAGTTTTAGGGTGAATATCATCCAATCAGCGGCCGGGTTTGGTTGGCTGTTAGATATAAAAGTGACGATGAGACAAACTACACTTCAGTGTGTTTTACCTCACTTTTGGTATACAGTTCCAGCTTCGTCTCTTGCAGGTGAGCTGTATGTAGGGGATCCCACTCCCCTTTGTTGCGTCCCTCTCCTTTCTCCCCCCCCCCCCTTTTGTTGCGTCCCCATCCCACTCCCCCCCCCCCCCTTGTTGCGTCCCCATCTCCCTCCCTATACCCCATTGTTAGTCCCTTCCCCGCCCCTGGTCCCTCTTACTGGAACTAGTAAGGTGCATGGGGGGAAAACTACCATTTCAGACTTGCCTTGACGAATTGAAGGTTGGGTAAAATGCGCATAATACCGAGTGGCACTGTAGCAGTCCTGAACTTGGCCTGCAACGCTGCACTACCCCCCTCCCCCTTGTATCATGTGAGAGGCTAGCTCTTAATGTCTGGCCATCAATGTTAAAAAATCGGTTATGTATATTAAATGTGTACAGGGGGTTACTATTTTTAAAACAAATTAAACTTTCCATCTAGTTTTAACATGACTACTTAAATTCACCAGGATAGATGTAGTTCTAGTAATGGGGTAACTTGTAAATTGTTCTACAAAGGTTTGTTAATATTTTGCAATGTCCATCCATGGTGTTTTCCTCTTTCCCCCCCCCCCCCAATCAACGCTAATTTAACTTCCTGTCGCATATATTAATCGTGAAATTGCCTTAAAGTAGCGTAGCATTTCGGTAGATTTATATAATTCATGACTTCAGTGTAGGTGTGTAAATTTCTCGGTTATAAAACATTAACCGAATAATTCCTGACCATTGCACCTAACAGATGGTTAACTCCCGGATCGTAGTGGTGCAGTTGTCAGCGCCCCGGCGGGGGTCTCTACAAGGCAGTCAGAAGCTTGGTTAACTCCCGGATCGTAGTGGTGCAGTTGTCAGCGCCCCGGCGGGGGTCTCTACAAGGCAGTCAGAAGCTTGGTTAACTCCCGGATCGTAGTGGTGCAGTTGTCAGCGCCCCGGCGGGGGTCTCTACAAGGCAGTCAGAAGCTTGGTTAACTCCCGGATCGTAGTGGTGCAGTTGTCAGCGCCCCGGCGGGGGTCTCTACAAGGCAGTCAGAAGCTTGACAAACGCGCCGTAAGTAAAATTCAGATGCTAGTCTCCGGACACTTCGCCCACAGTGAATTAAGCAGCTCAAAGTTTTAGTTTAGTAATGTACAGTGTAGTCGTGCACGTTGACTGTTTGTTCCAGTTACTTTGGACAATGTTAACACTTCTGTAAAGTGTAGACGGTTAAAAAGCTTTTTTTAATGTAAAAGGGTAACTACTTGGCAAGCAAAGTTGTAGTATTAATGCTTCTTGTATGGGTCTTTTTGCTTGGCAAACGCTCCACCCCAAAAAAAATTTAATCGCATCCTCTGATTAGGTAACCTAGAAGCTTTTAGACAATCTACATCCCTAGCCTAGAGCGTTAACAAATGATTTGAGTATCTTTTTTAAGTTACTAATTTAACTTTGAATCAAATATCCTGCTTAACTTGTCAGTGTAATTATTACGAAGATAGTAAAATTCTTCATAATTTTTACTTTGGCTTGCCTTATTAACCATGTTTTTGCAACAGGGTTAAGTCTCTAATGCACTCTAGTCTTAAATGAGTTTTTCAGATTCTGGAATGATTTTCCTAAATGCTGGCGAGGGTTCCGGTGACCACTACATGGCCCCAGACGGCTCACTGGTGTTCTTGTCTCCTGAGCAAAACCAATTGCTTGCACCAGTTTCCGTCTCGCATCTCCCTTCCCCAAGTCATCCTTCAGGTGAAGTCTCTACAGTTCTTCAAAGACACCGGTTTCAAACTAGTTTCTTTTCGGTTCCATAATACGTCCAACAGTTCGCTCTTTAAGCGTCACCCTTGTCCTTCCAACCCATTCCTGCATTGAAGGTATCCCAACTTCCACTCGCCCCTCAGCCCCAGCTTAAGTCTCGGCCGTAAAGGCCACAGCAAACTATACACCCCATCCTGTGGAATACCTGGTAACGTAGTAAAATGTTGTAAGATTTTACTTTAACCTAACCAAACTAGTAATGTGCTTTGAGTATCAAAGATGCAGGTTAGACTCCTCAGCATGGCTTATTAACTTTTAGTGAATTGGGATAAGTTTAATTTTACTGTTTCAGACGCGTGAAACGAGGGCTGGAAAGCACTTAAAACATTTCAGGGTGCATGAATACTAATGCCTACAGCTGGTATCAAGCAAACTCTTACTGCTAGTCATGGCAGAGGCTTCCAGCTAGTTAGTAGCAAAGACAAGGACGACTTCAGTTATCGCCAGAAGTGAGTTTATTAGTGTTTTAAGTTGATATACATGTGCCTTAAACTTTAAATGTTCAGCCTGCTGACCTAAGAATTTTACTAATTGGCGAAAATTCTAAAGTTACATAATTTGTCTAATTAGGTGGGATCCTGTTCATGTGACAAGCGTCAACGAGCGAGGCACGACGACCTGGTGGTGGTCATGTGACAAGCGGCAACGAGCGAGGCACGACGACCTGGTGGTGGTCATGTGACAAGCGGCAACGAGCGAGGCACGACGACCTGGTGGTGGTCATGTGACAAGCGGCAACGAGCGAGGCACGACGACCTGGTGGTGGTCATGTGACAAGCGGCAACGAGCGAGGCACGACGACCTGGTGGTGGTCATGTGACAAGCGGCAACGAGCGAGGCACGACGACCTGGTGGTGGTCATGTGACAAGCGGCAACGAGCGAGGCACGACGACCTGGTGGTGGTCATCCTGGTATATTGTCCTACATAATTTCTCACTGGAGGGTCAGTATGGCTTGTTTTACTGTATTACTTTGTCATGCAGCTCAAATTGTCATAACATACGGTGTTTGGAAATTTTTTTTAAGTGCAGGTTACTCGTAACGGCTTAGACGGCTGTAAAGAGGCTTGTAACGGTAAAGTTTATCTTAAAGATTTAAGAATTATTATTTTAAGGAATATAATTGATAACTCTCCCCTCCCGTCCCCAGGCTTGGACGATCGCAGCCAGACAAGGCAACGAGGACTGTCTCGGGGTACTGAAGAACATCTATAACAGAGGCGTGAAGTGGCACCACAGTGCCTGTCACCACGTAAAGTCTCTCAACTGAGACCAGCTTTTGATATGTTTTTTTGCCAGAAAATGGCCTGGTTTCATGAATGGTACAATTGTAAAATATTAAAATTTACACCAGCTCATAATCCTCTTGAATACCTTAATCATGTCTCTTAATGTTGCAAGTCTACACAACTTGCCACCAAGGACCTGAAGTGTCTTTAGTTTCTCTGGTGCTACATAGCCTTCCCGGTTTGGTGCCTTTTTTATACTTCTCATAACTATTCGGTTAAGGAAAACTAATGACTTGTGACTTTCATGTACAAATAACAAGCAATTGGAACAATGCAGGGGGAGTTGTGGGTATGTGAACCACTACATGTAAACCCCCCCCCCCCCCCGGGCTAGGTATCTAAGATGTATGTATATATTCACTGTACATTGACTGTAACCATTGTGTGAGCTTCAGCCTACAGTTCAGATCTATTGTCTTGTGTATGACCTGTCCTGTGTGACGGTGGATACCAGCATTATCCTCACTGTAAGACTTGATTGAATTCATCAGATTATGCAGAATTGTAATTATATATTATCAATAAAGATGTTAATAGTAGTAATAAGAAGAATGACACTTGTCCTGAGTTTTTTGACAGTTGGATACTTTAAGATATCGTTCGCCTTGTGGGTTTGTTCTCGTATTTGCGTTTATCGCCCTCTGATTATCCCGCACATTTGATGGTGCTACATGGCCTTCCCGGTTTGGTGCCTTTCAATAATTACTTAAAAGATACTGTCAAAGGAGCTTTAACGCTGGTTCGACTCTCCAGTGTTCTAAAAGTTCACAAGTTTTTATATTCAAACCCATTCTAACTGGACAACTAAGTAACTTTGCAGTTTCGTAGAGAAATATCAGCATTCTATAGTGACCCAGTATTAAGAGTAACAGATCTCTAAACTATTACTTTTCCGTACAAATATGCACTTATAAAACTGTTTCTAGTCTTAGGCAGAGACTAAGACTAGACAAATGTCGACACTAAAAAAACTAAAAATGTCTTAAGAAAATAATGGAAGGAGGGGGGAATTGCCTGAAATTCTAGGAAGACGTTAAGTACATCACTCTACTCCAATTAAATTTAAGCTTATTAAAATTTAGAACAAAATACGGTGATGCACGCATTTTCAGTGTTCAATCTCCGAGCTAATATTTTTACTTTTAAAAGATTTTTTTAAAAATCAAAGTATACGTAAGAACAAATCCACTAGGGCCGTGATGAGGGTTCGAACCTACGCCCGGGATGATCCCAGATGCGTCCGTCAACTGTGCCATTTTTGGTTCCTCCGGCACTGGGAATCGAACCCCGGACCACAGAACTACGTATCTAGCGTGCTATCCACTCGGCCACCAGCGCCCTTAATGTGGACAATACGATCTGTATCTTCCATGGGCGAGACGGAGCATTATACCAGTGTGTGTAACCTCTAACATACACTGAGGACAACACAAATATAAACGAGTCTAAGACACAAAACATCGACACTAATGACTGCTCAACAATGATATTTTTAACATATAAACAAGCATTTTTGTTCAGTCGGAAGAAAATTTTGATGAGAATAGTCTTTCTACTTTTGGCGTTATTCCTCTTCCTTCGCGTCCCCCCCCCCCCCCTTTTCCTTTCCCTTCCTCCATCCCTGGAAGAAATATTTCCTTCTGCATCACCAACAACTCGTTCAGTTATGGCTCTGAAACTCATCTAAACTGCAGCTGCAGAATCCAGGAGCCGGACGAACAAGACCCCGCGACTTCCGAAAGCAATCACCCTTGGAATAATAGTAAATGAGGCCAGGAATTTGGCTGGAAAGCGCCTCCGGTGACGCAGAAAAGGAGGAGGAATAGGAGGGGTCACAAAGCCAAGTTAGTGATATGAGTGAGCCAGGCGAGGCCCCGGGAGGCAATACAACAGTCTTACAACAACCACAAGGGGTAAACTCTGACAGGATTTGCTTAACTTTTGCGACTGTAGAGATGAGGTGTTGATTGTTGGACAAATTGTGAGTATGGTGTGTGTGTGCGCGCGCAGGCGTGCACTCCAAAACGCCGCCGCCTCCATTGTAAAACGCCAATAGAACAGTAAAAGAGGAAAACATTTTAAGAACAACAGAGGAGTCCTCAAGACGGCAGCCACCTTGCCTCACTACCAACGTTGACAGAACCCGGGCGGTTCCCAGACTCCCACGCTCCCATGACAAACACCAATGGACGAGGGAGGCCGATATGTAAATATGAATTATCGAGGTGCTGGGATGGTATGTGTGTGGTGTGGGATGGGGGCGGCGGGAAGGGTGTTGAGAGGGGTGTACATGCGACAGGATTACTGACCACCGGGTGTTGTGTTCAGAGACACTACTCTACACCTGATTGTGTGGGCCTCGCAAATAGAACACAGACGCTGATTCTCTCACTATATCGATCTCATTTCCGGAAGCATGGTACGCAGGGCGAGACAAACAGGAACAGAGAAACACAAAAAAAACAAATATAATAGTAACACACACAAATCACAATAGCGTGATGCATCAAATTAACAAATCCACAAGGGCCGTAACGAGGATTCGAACCTACGTCCGAGTGCATCCCAGACGCTGCCTTAATCCTCTTCACGGGCCTTGTGGATTTGTTCAAACATAATAGTCTATATCATGGGACCCTTCCCATGATACAACCCCCACAGCAAGCCAACTCCTGGGTACCTATTTACTGCTAGGTGAACAAATGCATTAGGTTAGCTGATAGGAAACGCACCCAATCATTTCTGCCCACCTCGGGATTCGAACCCAGAATTCCTGATTACGAGTACTACCGGGACTCTTCAAGCATAAATTCGGTCACAGGAGAAGACAGACATTCACTGACAGTAGAACAGGCGGTCGTTCAGTGTGCTGTAACTACCCCACTGCCTCAACTTTCTACAATGTATGTCATCAACTTTGTGCTGTGTTGTTTTAAGGCTGTGAGGGGCGTGTGTTGCAATAGTTCTGTTGCCTGCAGGACTGTGGTATTGCGTGATATGTTACATGCATGGTGTTCATCAATATATTGCGTGCTGGGGGATTAGGGTATTGCATGATGATTGGGTTGCTAGAGTTCAGTGGTTGTGTTGAGGAGGGGAATATTGATATTTATTAGTGCATTAGTTCAACTGGAACTAACAGTGCATAGTTATATCCACTAGTATATACTCAACTAAATTCTTCTCTAAAGCAATTCAAAATTTGACCCACCACAGCACATAGGCGCCCACCACAGAGCCCAGACGCCCACCACAGCACACAAACGCCCACCACAGAGCCCAGACGCCCACCACAGCACACACACCTACCACAGTACACAGGCGGCAATTCCAGCAGCCTGCCTCTGCTTAACGTCTCGTTTTCCTGTGTCAGTTGTCGACATAAATGAACTGTGCTTTGTGTAATGGTAAGGACACATTCACTGACAGATACACACACGGACACTTGCTATTGCCCTCTCCGCCTCCTCTCAATACCAGAAGACAAAAGTCTCAAACGGGAACAGAGACTAACGAGCCACGGAGCTAATGACCGGTTGGATGAATATTTAACAACTTGTTAATCACTCCTTGGACGTCTGGAAGCTGGGATAATGCGTCCCCTGAGTTCCATGAAACGTCTTGTGACGTACGGAAATCGCTGAAATCTCTTCCAGTACGATTTTCCTTAGTGTGATGTATCTTGGCCTCAGGTATTTAGGCCACCTTGACGTCGCTACTGTCCCATTCTAAGTTAGAATGACTCCCTCTGGCTCATCCTGACCTCCCATGATTCTGTCTGGTTTTCCTGACCTGCCCTGACCTCATTTTACCCTGTCTGATTAACTGACCGTGTCGGGGGCCTTTCCGACTGTCCCTTGAGAATGATCCCTTAACTCGGGTGAGAATGATCCCTTAACTTGGGTGAGAATGATCCCTTAACTCGGGTGAGAATGATCCCTTAACTCGGGTGAGAATGATCCCTTAACTTGGGTGAGAATGATCCCTTAACTTGGGTGAGAATGATCCCTTAACTTGGGTGAGAATGGTCCCTTAACTCGGGTGAGAATGATCCCTTAACTTGGGTGAGAATGGTCCGTTAACGCTGACCATTCTCACCCACATGTACCCAAGATCAAGGACAAAGTCCCCAACAAAGAGCAAGCAATATAAGAGACTGAATCATTTACAAGGTAGCCATCTCGTAGGACAAGATGCGCCAATTGAAACCAATGGAACCGCTTACCCACTGTTGTCGATAACAAGATTCATTTTAAAAATCCTTAGGAACAATTAAGGGACCTTTAACAAGCCGCCTGCTTCCTGTCCCCATCGAAGCCACTAGGGAGATTGTGGCCTTAGCGTGCTATACAGATTTAGTTCTCTCTCTCTTGTTACCTTAGCTTGGATATTTGTCAACGTGGCGACATAGCATCACATGCCGGAAATGCAACTATGTTCTGGAAACTTTCTTAACCCGACTTTGAAATAACATATCCTCTTCAGAGTGAATCAAACCAGGAACCACCCGATTACTGGGCCTGGTACTCATCCTAGCGTCACCCAGCCTGGTTCACTCTCATCCATCCTGACTTTAAATGACTCTGCATGGCTCTCTAATTCAGCCTGAGTCTGCATCAGCCCGACTCAGTCTGAAGCCTTCAGTCTGCATCAGCACACTAGACTTGTGATCCTGTGGTCCTGGGTTCGATCCCAGGCGCCGGCGAGAAACATTGGGCAGAGTTTCTTTCACCCTATGCCCCTGTTACCTAGCAGTAAAATAGGTACCTGGGTGTTAGTCAGCTGTCACGGGCTGCTTCCTGGGGTTGGAGGCCTGGTCGAGGACCGGGCCGCGGGGACACTAAAAAGCCTCGAAATCATATCAAGATAACCTCAAGATAACCCTTAGCTGACCAAATGTGTTTCCGGGTGACCCAGAGATACCCGTTCAGACCGAACTAGCCCCAACCATTTTTCTGTGCGAGATTCATTGCAAAAACTTAATTAACGCAACTAGGTAATCAAAATTGATATTTCATTGTCAATAACGCCAGAAAAAACTAATTTGATAATTGAAAAAAGTTGTAATTGGGTAACCCTATTGAGGGAATTGTTTCCACGAGATCAGTTGAATGATGCAATTACCACAGTTCCATCCATTTCATTACCCACACTGACCCGACCATTCCTCTACCCACACCGATCATTCTTCGACTCACACCTGACCATTCCTCTACCCACACCAGCAATTCCTCTACCCACACCAGCAATTCCTCTACCCATATCGATCATTCCCCTACCCACACCGATCATTCCTCTACCCACACCGATCATTCCTCTACCCATACCGACCATTTCCTTAACCACACTTACCATTCCCCTACCCACACCGACCATTCCCCTACCCAC